GCATGCGGGTAGGAGTGGGAATCATCAGTACAGCCTCCTACCCGCCATGTTTCGAATAGTCATGTAATTTGCAAGACAGGTGACAGGAAGAAATAGATGTAAGTGAAGGGATAAACAAAGTGAGAAAGGAAGTAAAGAAGAGAAATTAAATCTTCATGAAGACTGCAATAGAGAGGTGTTAACCTCGAATAACATTTAAATATTATTTTGACATTCCTTTGCAAGTCGAAAATGCGCTGCGTCTTGTGATCTGCACTTGTAAAGGGCGCCACACATCACCCGGTGCATTGCACCTGTAAAGCGTTTTACCCCGACATCCAGCCCTCATCGCCCACCATCCGAGCTACAGTGCAAACCCCTATACGTCCATGTAGCAACGTAACTCTTGCAGGGTCTGAATCACGAAGTACTGAATAAATACCAAGAATAGCGAGACCATTAGGGAGGCCATTGTATTTATCCCATGTTAATGATATCACTGAGATGCTTCCACACGCCGATCCCTTTGATCCAGAGCTGCTATCTCACTTAACACTATTGCATGTTCAGATAAAGTATAAAGGGGAAAAGGGCGGAAAGGGCAGAAAGAGATAGTGTAAATGTGGGGCGCTCTAATCAGACTGTTATGATCAAAGCATCTACTGAATTATTTATACAAATTGAAGTGTTGTATAGGCTTTCTATGTAATACTTCGATGCCTATTTAGCTGTCCCTGCTACAGAGAAACATAACGAAGTTATCAGATAGTCAACGACAAGTCGCTACCTTGGCAAAATTATCTGCAGTTTCTCGTGCCAAGACTTACTTAATGAGGAGTTGAATTTGCCCATCGTGACATCAGCACTGATGAACATAGGAACGAATTGTGCTGAATTTGATTTTCTCATTTATGCACTGAAGGTAGCGACTTGAGTTTGTGTACATCGCCACTTACGATTACATCAAATTTGTTTGCTAAGTTTGAATCAGTACTTGTGTCAGTATTTATGTTTAACAAGCTTTTATTTCATTGTCGCGTTTCTTTTCGCCATTGATGCAGCTTCCATCATTTCAGTTCATCTCTGTTTTGAGCTGTCTTATCCGGATAATCCCGGATAGGCGTTGGAACGGATCCTTCCGCGTCACTGACCCTCTTACCTCTGCACTTTGTTATTTTCCGCTCTTTCACAACATTTTATTTCACACTACCATTTCAAATACAAAATATTAAAAAGCTTCAGATGTCGTCCAGTGGGTGTCACGGGTGCGGAACAATTATTGCTGGATACACATGCGCTGAAAACGTTTCTTCTTTCGATGCCATCGGCGGAGTCGTCAATAAACACCAAACCACCAACAGTGTATACTAATGTGGTTGTAAAAACGATGACCAAGGCGGAAATGGTCCTCAAGGTAAACCGTTTTGTGGCTTTTGAGCAAACTGTTTTTAAGAAGAGTTTGCTCAAAAGGTCCTCCTTTTTCGATTATTCTCGTCCAGGACGAACTGAAGAAGTCTAAGATGATCTTCGAAAAGATGATGCGCATATGTAATCAAAAAATGATAGGTGCCGGTTAGATGCATTTTGTTGCTCAGGGCCTGATCTGTTTCTTCTACACTTTTGTTTGCCTGGGTCTGAATAAAATAGGCTTACAGTCGAAATTCAGTCGGCCATAATTCCTATTAAGCCAGGTCCGGTTAAATCCGGAATGT